TTGTGGCCGTAGTACGTATCTTTGGGGAGGGTCCCCAAGTTTTTTTGGGTACTTTTTGGTTATGTGTTGGATTGGGGGTGAAATTCGGTGTTGTCAAGTAAGGCCTAGGAATTTTGCTTCATTTGTCTGGAATTAGGTGTTGTCGATCTTAATGTTAATTTGATCTACTTTTCATTCTCTCAATGACCAAACCCCCCTCAAAAAAACCCCCCTCTGCCTTGACTAATGCTTTTTTTAACTCCACACCTTTTTTTTAAAATTTCCACCTCCGAATTTTCTGCTAAAATTTTTTCACCACCATTTCCTTAGACAGGACTCGCCACTGCCCCACCGTCTCTCCTGCTTTCTTTACCCCAAGCTTCACATCCCTATAAAGGGGTTGGGATACTATACTTTTTTAAAAGTCCTTCTTTTCCCATAGATCGTTTTTTGACTCCACCCTATACCCCAACACACCCCTCAACCCTTTTTTTTTATCAAATTTTTGATTAAATCATCCTTCATAAATCCATCCACTGACACGTCAAAATCCCAAGTATCTGAAAAAAAAATTTATTCTTCCATACTCCTCCTCCCCAATTTGATATCCCAAATTTTTTTATCTAAATCATTGATCCCTCATCACCCTTTCTCTTTTCCTGTTACTTTTAAAATTTCTACCTTTACACACATTCCCAAACTCTTCCCCCTAACCCTTTGCAATTTTTCCCCCAGAATCTCCCCAAAACCAAGTACATCAGCAAAAAAAATAAGGTCAATTCCCATTTTGAAATTTTATTCCCATAATTTTAATCCCACCCCTCTCCCGAGCACCCTAGCATTTACTTCTTTTACAACCCCATCTATAAATATATTAAACAACCATGGAGACATTACACATCCCTGTCTAAGACCTACTTTTACCGGGAGTATTCTCCCTCTCTTCTACACACCCTAACCTGAGCCTCACTATCCTCATAAAAACTCTTAACAGCATTTAGTAACTTACCACCTATTCCATATACTTGCAACATCTGCCACATTGCTCCTCTATCCACTCTATCATATGCCTTTTCTAAATCCATAAATGCAATAAAAACTTCCCTACCTTTATCTAAATACTGTTCACATATATGCTTCAATGTAAACACTTGATCTACACATCCCCTACCCACTCTGAAACCTCCTTGCTCATCCGCAATCCTACATTCTGTCTTACCTCTAATTCTTTCAATTATAACCCTACCGTACACTTTTCCTGGTATACTCGGTAAACTTATTCCTCTATAATTTTTACAATCTCTTTTGTCCTTTTTCCCTTTATATAAAGGGACTACACATGCTCTCCGCCAATCCCTAGGTACCTCCCCCTCTTTCAAACATTTATTAAACAAAAGTACCAACCACTCCAACACTATATCCCCCTGCTTTTAACATTTCTGTCATGATCCCATCAGTTCCAGCTGCTTTACCCCCTTTCATTCTACGTAATGCCTCACGTACCTCCCCCACACTTACATTCTGCTCTTCTTCACTCCTAAAAGATGGTATACCTCCCTGGCCAGTGCATGAAATTACCGCCTCCCTTTCTTCCTCAAAATATTCTCGCCATCTACCTAATACCTCCATCTCCCCATCTACTAACTCCCCTACTCTGTTTTTAACTGACAAATCCATACTTTCCCTAGGCTTTCTTAACTTGTTTAACTCACTCCAAATTTTTTTCTTATTTTCATTAAAATTTCTTGACAGTGCCTCTCCCACTCTATCATCTGGTCTCCTTTTGCACTCTCTCACCACTCTCTTCACCTTTCTTTTACTCTCCATATACTTTGCTCTTCTTATAACACTTCTGCTTTGTAAAAACCTCTCATAAGCTATCTTTTTCTCTTTTATCACAACCTTTACTTCATCATTCCACCAATCACTCCTCTTTCCTCCTGCACCCACCCTCCTATTACCACAAACTTCTGCCCCACATTCTAACACTGCATTTTTAAAACTATTCCAACCCTCTTCAACCCCCCCCCCCCCCACTACTCATCTTTGCACTAGCCCACCTTTCTGCCAATAGTCGCTTATATCTCACCCGAACTTCCTCCTCCCTTAGTTTATACACTTTCACCTCCCTCTTACTTGTTGTTACTTGTTGTTGTTGTGTTGATGAAAAATCAAAATCTGGGGCAAAGGAAACCAAGAAGAAATTAACTGCCTTGATGTATGCTAATGTAAATGACACACGAAGTCAAACTAATTGTCACAGGAAAAAAAGTGCATGTCCATATTTGTTTCAGTATTTTAAAATGTTACCAGGTGAAACAAGTATGCCTGGAATATAAAAGAAATTTCCAGTGACTGGTTTAACTCTTCTGCTACTTACCTTTTTAAACTTTTTATGCCATGACGAACATCAAAACATCATAACAGGTACTGAAGACAATTTTGTACAATGTACTATACCTAAGGTGAGTATATGTTCACTGAGGAGGAGGATACAGGTGCTACAAGTGGTCTGGAAGGGGTCACAGCAACACAGGCCTAACATTTCATTAATGAAATATGCCTCTAAGACATGCAACACATTATTCCAGATGTTAATAAAATATCAATTACTAGACTAAATATGACAGTAATTAATTTTTTTTATATTTTATTGAAAAAGACACAATACAAGATATAAATAAATAAAAGAACACTATAATTAGCCACTTGCAAATACAATGATCTAGTGTCAACCCCCATCAGACCCTAAGTGTTACAATCATATCGTATTAAAGGGTAAACCATCACCTAACAATGAAAAGAGCATGGTAATACCTGCTCAGAAAATACACTAACAGAATCTAAACCTACAATACACTCCTGTTACACTGTACAATAAAACCTCCTTGCACAAAGCACACAGAAGATATGATAAATATAGGAATAAAAACATTATACATTACAATAATGTGTCCTCGTGTTGCATCTCGTCACTCCAAAGTCTGGGAACTTGCCCAGCTGAGGTACCAGGCTCAGTCACGAAAGCCTCAGCCCGTAGGCCCACAGGTGAATGGTCCCGTGAGTGGACAACCAGTTGACGGGGGCACTGGGCAGCCATATGCTCAAAAGAGTTACATAGTTTGCATGTCTTCCTTTGGCCCGCGTAATGAACAAACACCTGGGTCCTATATTTCTCCAGACGTACGTAAGAGGGAATCGACTGGCGGAGCGTCATCTTGATGGTGAAGGAGCCCTCTGGGAACCCCTCGTATGGGCCCTCTCTCCACACTCCCTTGGTCGCTGCATGCACCGTTCCGTATCTGCCAAAAACATCCCGCAGATCGTACTCCTCCACCTCGAAAGACACGTTTCTCACCTTGACCCAGGTGACATACGTCGACACGTCATGTAGACACACTTCCACAGCTGAATTCACCACCATTCTCCTTTCTTGAAAAGTTTCAACAATCTTGTTGTAGAAGCCGGCATTCACGAATTTTATAAACATCCTTGACATCCCATTCAAAGCTACGCCATATAATTCTTCATTGGGGATACCGTAGACGTCGCGTATAATGCATGGCATCACTGTATGCATTGTAGAAACACTGAGGGACCCTTGTGTGAATGCAACACAGACCGTGTTTACTCTCCTGCCTTGACGGTCCGCCATCTTGTGACTTGTAGGGTCTCTGAAAACTGCGCAGAAATCAGTTGATTCAGGAGCTACTGCGCATCTGTCCACACGGCCCGAGAGCGATGAGGACAATGATCAAACATAGTTAACTCTCATTCCCAGGGTGCTGTATGATCACTACGGGTTTAGTGCTCCTCTCTGTGTGTTCTGGAAACACACAAGGACCCCATTGGAAATAAGTCACCTTGTCTTGACTTTTTTTTTTGTGTTATTTACTTAGACTACACTGCTTGTGAGCAGTTTTATAAATGAGATATAACTTCAGTTTCTTTACATAATGCTCTGCATACAAGGGGCTTTGGCATGCTGCACTTTAAAAATTGTATTCCTTGTACTTCTCTGTATCGTGTTCAAATAAATAAATAAATAAATAAATAAATAAATAAATAAATAAACAGTCTTTAACATTCAATAACCAGATATGTTAAGGTTAGGAACCAAAACCAGTATGGTACCAGGGAAGTAGGTGATCAGGCCTTAAACATTGTTTATTGCACAGCAATAAAGGAGTGGTACAGATTGCCTGCACATGTCAAAACTTGTCCTAACATGAGCTAGTTCAAGAAGAGAACTACAAGGTACCTAATGAATGAAGCTACAGAAAGGGAAATGAGTGATTTCTTGTATTGTAAGATGATTCTCTCTTTATTGTTAATGTAAATAACTCAGTTTACTTTACTTCTATTGCATCTCGTTTTATTGTAACTGATTTTCACACAGTTGAGTTACCTAGTTGTTTTAACTTTCAAGGTTTTAATCATGACTGATTTCTATTGTAACTTACTGCTAGGTTTTAAATAATAAGATATTACAAAGACCCCAATGGAAATAAGTCACTTTGTCTGACTTTTTTGCGGGGTTATATTAGGTAATTTACACATATGCTACTATGGTTATACTGCTAAATAAACTAATTAACCCAAAACTAGTATTTAGTCACTTAGCCATAATACCAACTTACCTCATAATTTGTAATATTTTAAAATTAAGAATTAAACTAAGTCTGCCTGAAATGCCTAGCCATGCTAGGTGTTCTAGTGGTACACTCTGTAATTATTATTTTACTACATGTAAACCACACAATAACCAAATTCTGTAAACTCAGCATTGTAATCCTTATGGAGAATAAACTTTGAATTGAATTGAAGACCAACATTTTTAAATTTGGCGGCATGTTATGAGGTGGGACATTCACGTTATCTTTTCCCCTAAAAAGAGGAAAGAACACAAATGCCCGATGTTTACTATACAAAAATAACCAAAGATTTAACTTATAAAACTAAAACTTGTGTATTGAAGAAAAAAAATGACAAGAGCGAGTAAATTAGAGGAAAGAACCAAGAAATATGTGAGTGAAGGTTGAGGGAGGCTGCTGGAGCGCTGTTCCGTCTTTCTCTCAGCACCTCCAACAGCACAACTACTAAGACGCTGCCTCTGCTGATTGTGCTCTCATTAACTCTGATAGGGAAGTAGGAGGTCTTCATCATGGTTCAGAAGAAGGTACAATGCAGTATCCGCTGCTTTCTAGTTGTTTTGTTATTGTTGTATTGATTTTTAGCGAGGTTTTCAGTATTTTCATCACGGCACTTAGCATTCAGCACCCGCCATATTTTTCATGTATTTTTTTTTTTAAATGTATTCAACTTTTAATATTTAAGCATTAATAGGAGCTTTTATTCTTGCAAATCTTTGCATTTTTTTGACGATTGTGCGTAATTTAAAAAAAATAATTTTTGGTTATTAGCGTTATGTACCAACAACACGTGGCGAGATGAATCTTACTTTTATAACGTCACAAAGCTGTTATTGTACTTAATTCTTAAGGTTAATTGTATCCCGCTTCACACTACATTTCTTACTCGAATGATATTCTCATTAGGGTCAAGTTTATGTTTCCTTTGTATGCAGATAGTGTTCTTGGATTTCTTGGAAAGACCCATCAGATAGAGACAGTGTACTCGAGAGATCGTAATAACACTATTGTGAAAGTCGCAGAACTGGTGGAACTCTAACCCATGGCAGGAAAGACATGAAATTGGTAGGTTAGTGTACCAACCACACTGGCCTGCCAGTGTCGCCTGTTACGGTTCATGTTCTTACCCGTTCTGTGATTTATAGGTAATGTCCTGGAATAGTCTTGAAGTAAATTGATTAAACAGCCTATTGCTACCTGCAGTAACAGCCGGTTGATCAAGCACTGAGGCCCGATCATGGGCCACAGGCTGCTGGGGTGACCCCAGCAGCCTGGTAGATAGGTAGACCCCTCGGCCGATTGGATTTGTTGCTCCCAATAAATCTGCTCTGGCTTGTCAAGTACACAGAACAACACGAAGTAAAAAAAAAAAAAAAAAAAAAAAAAAGTGGGGGTGGGTGGGCTTTGGATATAATATGTTGGCAAATTTCCCAGTGACTGTCTCATGGGCCAGTAGACCTGCTGCAGTGTTCCTTCTTATGTTCTTACCGAGAAAGTTTTAGTTTATGAATGTTAAGTGATTTTTAAAGTCCAGACAAAATAATTTGTTCCCAACCCATGCACTTAAATTGATTTTTATTCTGAACAAAAATTAATATTTTTAAGTCATTTCAGTCACTAAAGCAAGTGGTATTGTGACTATGTACTTTTCAGAGGCGATATACAAATTTTGTTTGTTACTTGTAGGCTTGCATGTATGCAGTTTTATATTAAAATGTAGCTTACATCTGTTTGGTCTATTAACTTGCATGCATATTTTAAGTGCACAGTTTGATTGCTTTCCATACATGGGGCACACCAAAATTGTTCCCAATTGGGCCCCGCACCTCCTAAGGCCGGCTCAGCCCCTCGGGGAAAACAAGCCATACTGTTCGGCATGAATAGCAAGCTGAAAATGGTAAATTATTGGGGGATTCCTTTGATCCAAGCTTGTCAATTAATAGTGAATAATGTTGGTGCCTATGGAGAGACTGTCTACCTACTGAGGCTGGCAGGATCCTATGTCTAGCTCTACAATGTGTAGATGATTCTTGTTCGTGGTACTGTTCTAACAGACAACAAATCTCTCGGAACAAAATGGGATTCCTGGGCCTGGATCCAAGAGCATATAGGCCAGTTTGCATTAGAAGTGGATAAGCAGCTGAACTTAAATAATTTATAAAATGCTTACAGCAGTGTGCTAAGATATATATGTATTTTTTTTTTCAACAAACTGGCCATATCCCACCAAGGCAGTATGGCCCAAAAAGAAAAACGAAAGTTTCTCTTTTCAAATTTAGTAATTTATACAGGAGAAGGGGTTGCTAGCCCCTTGTTCCCGGCATTTTAGTCTCCTCTTACAACACGCATGGCTTACGGAGGAAGAATTGTTCCACTTCCCCATGGAGGTAAGAGGAAGTAAACAAGAACAAGAACATGAGAATGAAGGAACACTGCAGAAGGCCTACTGGCCCATGCGAGGCAGGTCCAAGTCTCCTACCGGCTTATGCCAATGCACCCAACCTAGTCAGGTCAGGTCACATTGACTTAAGGGAGGAACACGGCAACCGACCTGGTAGCACAAGCTATCAGGTCCAACTCACATCCACTCATTTATTTATCCAACCTATTTTTAAAGCTGCACAACGTTCTGGCCTCTATAACTGTACTTGGGAGTTTGTTCCACTCATCCACAACTCTATTACCAAACCAGTACTTTCCTATATCCTTCCTGAATCTGAATTTTTCCAACTTAAAACCATTGCTGTGAGTCCTGTCTAGGCTAGATATTTTCAGCACACTATTTACATCCCCTTTATTCCTGTCTTCCATTTATACACCTCAATCATATCCCCTTTAATTCTATGTCTTTCTAGAGTGCAGATTCAGGGCCCTTAGTCTATCCTCATAGGGTAGGTTTCTGATACATGGGATCAACTTTGTCATCCTCCTTCGTACATTTTCCAGAGCATTTATATCCATTCTGTAATACGGTGACCAAAACTGGGCAGCATAATCTAAATGAGGCCTAACCAAGGATGTATAGAGTTGAACAACCTGAGGACTCCTATTATTTATGCTTCTTGATATGAAGCCAAGGATTCTATTAGGTTTATTGCGAACACTTATGCACTGTTGTCTTCGTTTCAGATTACTGCTAACCAGAACTCCTAAATCTTTTTCGCAATCCGTAATATTAAGATCTACATTTAGTTCATATGTGGCATGGTTATTGTCCTGTCCAACATTTAGAACTTTGCATTTGTCTATATTAAACTGCATCTGCCACTTCTCTGACCACTGCATCAGTCTATTCAAATCTTACTGGAGTGCTCTAATGTCCTCATCAGAATGAATTCGACGGCCTATTTTGGTGTCATCGGCAAACTTGCTGATGTCACTCTTTATGCCCTCATCTATGTCGTTTATGTAGATTGTGAACAGCAGGGGGCCCAACACTGACCCCTGTGGAACACCGCTTGTGACGCTTCCCCACTCTGATTTCTCCCCATTTATGCAAACACTCTGCTGCCTATTTGTCAATCATGCCTCTGTCCAGGAAAAAATTTCTCCTATTCCACGTGCCATAATTTTCCTCAGTAGTCTCTGATGTGGGACCTTGTCAAAAGCCTTACTGAAGTCCATATACACAATATCATATTCATTACCATGATCCACCTCCTCAAATACCTTAGTGAAAGAAGTTAATAAATTCGTAAGGCAGGAACGCCCCTTTGTAAAACCATGCTGAGATTCGTTGATTAATTTATGCTTTTCAGGGTGGCTACAAACTGCCTCGGCAATTATTGATTCCATAAATTTTCCCACTATGGAGGTTAGGCTTATTGGTCTATAGTTCGAAGCTGAGGACCTGTCACCTGCTTTGAAAATAGGTATCACATTTGCCATTTTCCACTTATCTGGCACCATGCCAGTTTGTAGTGATATGTTGAAAAGATTAGCCAAAGGTTTGCTAAGCTCCTCTTTACATTCCTTTAGAACCCTTGCATACAATTCATCAGGACCTGGGGATTTGTTAGGTTTTAATTTATCTATTTGCCTAAGGACAAGAACTAGAAAGAAAATAGAAGAAAACCCAGAGGGGGGTATGTGTATATATATGCTTGTACATGTATGTGTAGTGTGACCTAAGTGTAAGTAGAAGTAGCAAGACATACCTGAAATCTTGCATGTTTGAGCCAGACAAAAGACACCAGCAATCCTACCATCATGTAAAACAATTACAGGCTTTCGTTTTACTCACTTGACAGGACGGTAGTACCTCCCTGGGCGGTTGCTATCTACCAACCTGCTACCTAGGATATGGAGCGTTATTTTATAAAATATTTTCTGCATTTCACTGCATAACACAAGGTCGGAATGGGAATGGCTGCCATCACTCGTCACATAATGGCATATTTTATTCATTCTAGAGTATACAGTGGACCCCCGGTTAACAATATTTTTTCACTCCAGAAGTATGTTCAGGTGCCAGTACTGACCGAATTTGTTCCCATAAGGAATATTGTGAAGTAGATTAGTCCATTTCAGACCCCCAAACATACACGTACAAACACACTTAAATAAATACACTTACATAATTGGTCGCATTCGGAGGTGATCGTTATGCGGGGGTCCACTGTATATCATGTTTGTGTTATTTGTATTGTTTGTCAGATCATTTGTGATAAGTAAGTTGTAAAGTTGATATTAGCATTATATTGAAGTATTTTGTCCTGCCTCCCAAGAGCAGAAATTCCACTGGAATGGATTAATGGCATTTCAATTAATTTAAATGAAGAAAATTGATTTAATATACGAGCAAATTGAGTTACGAACTAAGTCACAGAACAGATTAAACTCGTCAGTCAAGGTTCCACTGTATGCCTTTCCTGAAACTACAGATTTAGTACCCTCAGTCTATCCTTGTAAGAAAGATTTCTGATACATGATCAACTTCATCCTTCTGTTTTCCAGTTATGTGTCCATTCTGTAAAAGATCAAAACGTTCAGTTTACCAAGGATGTGTAAATTTGAAGTATAATCTGAGGGCTATACGCAAATAACCCACACTTGAGGAGGTGGAGCTAATAATGTGGTCCGACTTGGACCATTCAGTCACAAAGGAAGCTTGTTATTTAGGCTTTTTGATATTAAGCAAAAATTTTTTTTAGCTTTATTGCAACCCAGGGATATAGCAAGTGCATTTCTAGCAAGGCAAATTATTGCTAGTGTAACCCAGTAGTCCTTAAGGTTCTCAACCCATCAGTCAGCTACTATATTCTGTATAATTCTTCTTTCAACAAACTGGCCGTATCCCACTGAGGCGGGGTGGCCCAAAAAGAAAAACAAAAGTTTCTCTTTTTAAATTTAGTATTTTATACAGGAGAAGGGGTTACTAGCCCCTTGCTCCTGGCATTTGTCACCTCTTACAACATGCATGGCTTACGGAGGAAGTATTCTGTTCCACTTCCCCATGGAGATAAGAGGAAATAAACAAGAACTAGAAAGAAAATAGCAGAAAACCCAGAGGGGTGTGTGTATATGTATGCTTGTACATGTATGTGTAGTGTGACCTAAGTGTAAGTAGAAGTAGCAAGACGTACCTGAAATCTTGCATGTTTGAGACAAAAAAAAAAAAAAAAAGGGCACCAGCAATCCTACCATCATGTAAAACAATTACAGGCTTTCGTTTTACTCGGCAGGACAGTAGTACCTCCCTGGGCGGTTGCTGTCTACCAACCTACTACCTGCTTTCTGTATAATTATTGGAATTTGTTGACAAAAACTGAAAATTCTCCAAATTACATTTCTTTCTTTCAACACACCAGCTGTATCCCACCGAGGCAGGGTGGCCCAAAAGGAAAAATGAAAGTTTCTCCTTTTATTTTTAGTAATATGTACAGAAGGGGTTACTAGCCCCTTGCTCCCAGCATTTTAGTCGCCTCTTACAACACGCATGGCTTATGGAGGAAGAATTCTGTTCCACTTCCCCATGGAGATAAGAGGAAATAAACAAGAATAAAAAAGAAAATAGAAGAAAACCCAGAGGGGGGTGTATATATGTGCTTGTACATGTATGTGTAATGTGACCTAAGTGTAAGTAGAAGTAGCAAAACGTACCTGAAATCTTGCATATTCATGAGACAGAAAAAAAGGACACCAGCAATCCTACCATCATATAAATCAATTACAGGCTTTCATTTTACATTCACTTGCCAGGACGGTAGTACCTCCCTGGGCGGTTGCCGTCTACCAACCTACTACCTACCAAATTACATATTGGAACAAAATATTCTAAAGGTTTAGCTCAGTCTAATGCTTTTTATTAATTTCAGGTAAAGGGGAAAGGAAAGGGAAAATTTAAGAAGGTAGCAGCAGCTCCCTTGGTTACTAAAAAAGTGGTAGTCCCCAAGAAGGTTGTCAATCCCCTCTTTGAGAAGAGGCCTAGGAACTTTGGTATTGGTAAGTAATATTGCATTTTGGAAGTTTCTTGTGGATAGAATACAGTAAGCCCCGTACATAATTATGTGGAAGTTGTATCGTATTTAATAAAAAAGGACATCATGAATTCTTCCTTAAATAATGGTACTTGATAGCTTATTTCCCTAGTCTACCAGTTTTTAAATTATTTAATTGGCAAAATACTTAAATTTTGTACAACTGAATAAAGGTAAATCTAATGCATTCCCAACTTACCTTTAGGAAGCGTTGAAAGATAATATGGTATTGAGCATGGCTTAGGAGATGCTCCTAAAATGGGCATGAAAAGTTGAAAGTGCATGATTTTCCACCAAATCTTTCAGTGGGCTGCAGAAAACAATATGAAGTTCAATGATAAGAAATTTCAATTACTCAGATATGGTAAACACGAGGAAATTAAATCTTCATCAGAGTACAAAAATTCTGGCCACAAAATAGAGCGAAACACCAACGTCAAAGACCTGGGAGTGATCATGTCGGAGGATATCACCTTCAAGGACCATGACATTGTATCAATCGCATCTGCTAGAAAAATGACAGGATGGATAATGAGAACCTTCAAAACTAGGGAGGCCAAGCCCATGATGACACTCTTCAGGTCACTTGTTCTATCTAGGCTGGAATATTGCTGCACACTAACAGCACCTTTCAAGGCAGGTGAAATTGCTGACCTAGAAAATGTACAGAGAACCTTCATGGCGCGCATAACGGAGATAAAACACCTCAATTACTGGGAGCGCTTGAGGTTCCTAAACCTGTATTCCCTGGAATGCAGGCAGGAGAGATACATGATTATATACACCTGGAAAATCCTAGAGGGACTAGTACGGAACTTGCACACGAAAATCACTCGCTATGAAAGCAAAAGACTTGGCAGACGATGCAACATCCCCCCAATGAAAAGCAGGGGTGTCACTAGCACGTTAAGAGACCATACAATAAGTGTCAGGGGCCCCGAGACTGTTCAACTGCCTCCCAGCATACATAAGGGGGATTACCAACAAACCCCTGGCAGTCTTCAAGCTGGCACTGGACAAGCACCTTAAGTCGGTTCCTGACCAGCCGGGCTGTGGCTCATACATTGGTTTGCGTGCAGCCAGCAGTAACAGCCTGGTTGATCAGGCTCTGATCCACCAGGCCTGGTCACAGACCGGGCCGCGGGGGTGTTGACCCCCGGAACTCTCTCCAGGTAAACTCCAGGTATAGGAATTTCTGGATGCAGGAGAGTTTTATTGAAAGTCAAAATGTATGTTTCTCTGTAGTTTCAGGTTTTTGTGGAAACTAATGTGCATCAGACAGACCTTGCTTGTATGTAAATTTTAAACATGGGTTTTTTAATTGCTTAGCTGTTGCACAAATAGTTGTTGCATGACTAAATTGTTTGAGGGTTGATTGGCCGTAGTTGCATAGGTACCCATTCCAAGGTTAATTTTTTTCTTAGCTCTTAAAGTTAGTTAACCCTTTCAGGGTCCAAGGCCAAAATCAGAAGGGGTGCCTTTGTGTCCAAGAAATTTTGAAAAAAAAAAAAAAATTCTTATCGAATTAGATATTTTTGTGAAGGTAATAAAATGAAAAAAAAAATCTGATTAGGACTTACCGAGATACAGTGGCTGGAAGTTGACCCAAAACGACCGGGTGGCAGCAACATCAGTGACTTCAGCAAAATCGCATTTTTTTATTTTAGGTTTTTTATAATTTTTAATTTTTTCTAGTAACATTTGTGACCTGTGAGACCAATATAATGTATATTGTATAAGTGTACACTCACTGTATTCAACACAATAACTGTACTAATTTATTATATTGCTTACAAAACTTGTTTACAAGTTTATTGTAAACTGAATGATGAAAATATTAGTGCGGTTATTGTTGAATACAACGGTACCATATGGTACAATGGTGCCATAGGGTGCAATGGTACCATATAGTACAATTGTGCATATTGTACAATGGCACATGATAGTGGTACCATATGGTACAATGGCACATGATACAATGGTAGAATATGGTACAATGGCACCATCTGGTACAATGGTACCATGATACAATAGTACCATATGATGCAATGGTACCATATGGTACATTATACCATACAATACAATACCATATGGTTCATTGTACCATATGGTACTATTGTATTCAACACAATAAACACTAATATTTTCATTATTTGGTTTACAATTATTTACAACAAATATGCAAAAATGTTGTATATTAGTAATGTTCTATTATATATTTACAAATGTACAGGAACTCAACATGTTCCTTGAGGTGGATGAGAAAGCAAAACTGCTGAGTCAGTAGCAAGGGAGTCTGTAACTAGCTTGAGTTGCCACTCGCTCAGTCTTGGCTAGTCTCTCCTGCCACCAACACCTATTGACCATGTGGTACACAGTATCATATGTTACAGGGTACCATATGGTACATTGTACTATATGGTATAGGGTACCATGTAGTATAGGATAACATATGGTGCAGGGTACCATATGGCACAGGGTACCATGCGGTACAGGACACCGTATGGTACAGATACAGGGATCCCTATGGAAATGAGTCACCCTGACTCTTTTGAGTTATCCTAGGATTTTATACATATGCTGCTATGTATGATAATCTATGTAATTGTATTTCTGTACACCTGAATAAACTTACTCAAGTGCATGTGGCATCATGAGTAAGTTTATTTAGGTATACACAAATAAAGTTACATAGAATATCATACTTAGCAGCATATGTTTGGAGAACCTAGGATAACCCAAAAAAGTCACTTATTTTCTTTAGGGACCCTGTATCATATGGTGCAATGTACTATATGGTGCAATGTACTATATGGTGCAATGTACTATATGGTGCAATGTACTATATGGTGCAATGTACTATATGGTGCAATGTACTATATGGTGCAATGTACTATGTGGTGCAATGTACTATGTGGTGCAGTGTACTATGTGGTGCAGTGTACTATGTGGTGCAGTGTACTATGTGGTGCAGTGTACTATGTGGTGCAGTGTACTATGTGGTGCAGTGTACTATGTGGTGCAGTGTACTATGTGGGGCAGTGTACTATGTTTGGGGCAGTGTACTATGTGGTGCAGTGTACTATGTGGTGCAGTGTACTATGTGGTGCAGTGTACTATGTGGTGCAGTGTACTATGTGGTGCAGTGTACTAGTGTGCAGTGACTATGTGGTGCAGTGTACTTGTGGTGCAGTGTACTATGTGGTGCAGTGTACTATGTGGTGCAGTGTACTATATGGTGCAGTGTACTATATGGTAGCAATGTACTCTATGGTAGCAATGTACTCTATGGTAGCAATGTACTCTATGGTAGCAATGTACTATGTGGTAGCAATGTACTATGTGGTAGCAATGTACTATATGGTAGCAATGTACTGTGGTAGCAATGTACTATATGGTAGCAATGTACCATATGGTAGCAATGTGCCATATGGCACCATGGTACCATATGGTTCAAAACCATAGAGTTCTTCTTCAGCTCCACTTCTATCAGTCTTAGAACTGTAAGTTGTTAAGAAAGGAGTAAGAATTCACCCAGAGTGAGTGGGGAGTGAGAGCTTCCTTGCCGCCAGGCATAATGAGCAAAGCTACTTTGACGACGTTCCCACAAACCTGCGGGCCCAGATTTTCTATAGTGTGCACACTGACCACCCAGACCCATTCTATCAGATGTAGGCCTACCAGCCTTCTCGCACTAAATTTGATGCCGCTAGAATTTTGGCGTAGATAAAAAAAGGTTTGGAACCTGAACGTAAAATAATCTAGGGCGGCTAATACATCTCATAATTGATGAGTAAAAACTTCATGGTATTACCTGTTTGATAAGTATTATAGTACAAAAATGCTGGAGTAGTGTATTATTCTCAAAAGATTGTAAATACAGTTATCCCTTGAACAACTAAGTTTTGAACTGTGCGGATCCACTTAAACGTGGATTTTTTTAAATGATTTTTTATTTGCGACTGAAATTTCTTTTAGAAAGTTAAGTGTCATGAATGCATAAAATGTACTTTGATACTAGTCTTATTTGCTACCATAAATTATACACAAATCTATTATGCAGTAACACAGTAGATATATCACAATATGCAGAACAACTACTGTGAAAAAAATAGTGAACTTCCAAGTGCTTTTGTGATTTCTCATTAATATTATCAAGGAACTGTAAAAATAAAAGATAAACAGAAAGGCACATAGAGATTGCACTTTGCGGTCAGCTTGCAACACCTGACCTTTTTATGGTGTAGGAAGGTAGTTGAAGACCAGTCAAATTGAGCTTATGTTCTACCTTGGCTTTAACCTTTTTCAGGGTCACAACCCCTGCTCTCAAACTTGCTCTGAGTCGCAAAATTTAAAAAAAAAAAAAACTTGTGAAATGGTAGAGAATCTTTTTCTGAAGGTAATAACACAAAAAGTACAAAATTTGGTGGAAAACTGGCAAAATTTCACTCGTGAATTTTGCTGTCAGTGATAGTGGTACCTCGAGTTACGAACTTAATTCATTCTAGAAGACTGTAGGAGTGCTGATACCGAACAAATTTGTTCCCATACCGAGTAACGTAAGTTAGGTTAGTCCGTTTCAGACACCCAAAAATATTTGCAAAAGCACTTACAAAAATATACTTACATAATTGCTCGAGTTGGGAGCTGTTTGAAACTCGAGGTACCACTGTATTTACACATCAATGATTTTCTCCACTTTGAGTCTAATTTTAGGCCAATGACATTGTTCTTGTTGACCAAATCCTTAGTTATTTTCCTAGTACGTATGTCAACATTTTATAAATTGAGCACAAGAAATCACCCAGTCACCCATTTCAACTACCCAATAGTGATCACAAATTGGTAATTTGGCCAATTTCATACTTGAAAAATATTAGTTTCAAAATATGGTCCAGAATAAACAATGTAGGCATTCCTGGCACTAAAATAACATTGCCTCTGTTCATTAGTTTAGTTTCAAGCCTTTACACATTAGTTCCATTTTAATTTTTTATTTACACAAAAATAGAATATTTACTGTTATGCAGTACTGTAATAATTGTATAAATATCGCTCCATTCATGGGTGCACATTAGACCCACCAGTTGACATGTATTGGACATGACTTAATTTGTTGCCGCTACTTTGAGTCCTAAAATCAATCGAATGATCTATTTCTGTAATTTGTCTTCCATTCTGTCAAATGAGACCAAGAATACAACAATAAAAACTATAGGAGGATACACCACAAAGTTGTTGTTTTAAATAAAAAGTGGTCTGGTTTTTCCCATTATGCACTGCTTGCTGTAGGATTTTTATATAGTGCATACTTGCCGCATAGACCCTTTCCCTTGTACCTAGACCCTCATTTACCATTCATGGCTTAGCTGAGCTCATCATGTAGAATGAGACCAACCCGGGTGCTTCAAAGCTGTAGTACAGTGGGACCCACCCCTAAAGGGTAAATTAAGCATTTTCTCCCATTTGGTGGCTGTCCTTATTTGGGGGAAGGGGTAATGATTGTTGTAGGGTATTTGATGTATTTGGAAAGTGCCTTTTATTGTTATAGCAGAGCATATAAAGTAAAGCAGTGGTAGAAATAGGCAACATCGTATAAAAAAAAAAAACAGCCCTTTGTCTTGTTGTACATGTATTTTTATAACCTTATCTGAATGTAGGAGACTTTAAATAAGTGTAGTGGGCACTTGCACATAGGTTACAGGCCCAGTGTTAGGGGGGGATGTTTTTGGTGCCTATATTATATTTAATCAATTTCACTTCATTAATATTTTACCCTTCCATTTAGAATTAATGCTGTACTAATGTACGGTATTTCAGTCCAAGGGTTAGATTGAGAGGATCTCCCCACACATCCTTCATGTCATGTGATGGATGAGATAGAATGATCAAACAGTTATCAAAAAAAAGAGATGTAATCTGTAATTTACTAATGTAATACTGTAACTAAGTGTATATTTATCTCCAGGTGGTGACATACAACCCAAGCGTGATTTGAGTCGCTTTGTGAGATGGCCCAAGTACATACGTCTGCAGCGTCAGAGGGCAGTTCTTCAACAGCGTTTAAAGATACCCCCTCCTATCCATCAGTTCAAGCAGACTCTTGACCGTCAGAAAGGTATTAATCACCTAACTGAAATGATCCTTAGGCTCATTAAGAGCGGTGCAGGATTGAAGAGATATTCATTTGAATCATGAACTTTCCTGGTTCTTTGAACCAGTTATCTTCAAGTGAAGGTAATGTTGGGCATAAGTATTCAAACACTTCAATCTCTTACTCAGAATGTGATATTCAGCATTGTTTGTGATGAATAGTATTTGCTAACAGAGGCTAATGCTGAGAAAGCGTTACCACCTAATATATCAAACTGAAAGTAAATAATTTGCATATTACATATTGTATGTTGGTGAAATGTTGAGTTTTATTTCATGTTTATTAGCCACTGAGCTGTTTCGTTTGATGGACAAGTATCGTCCTGAGAGCAAAGCTGCTAGGAAGGCAAGGCTGCGCAGACGTGCTGCTGCAAGAGCAGCTGGCAAGGAGGATGTCCCAACTAAGCGCAAGATATTTGTTCGTCATGGTGTCAACACTGTCACAAAACTGGTTGAGCAGAAAAAGGCTCGCCTGGTTTGTATTGCCAGTGATGTTGAGCCAGTGGAGGTATGGGTTTCATGTGGTAACCAAATATTTTCTTGATTTCCATGATGTCTTTAGAATCGCTTCACCTGATTTTGTGTGATGTTTAATGATGATAATACTGATTATATTTTTGAAGTCCTACACTAGGTATATTAAAAATTCAGCATTAAATTTGTGACCTTATTTGTAGATTGTGTTGTTCATGCCTGCTCTGTGCCGCAAGATGGGAGTGCCTTACTGTATTGTAAACAATAAGTCACGGATGGGTGTTGTTGTAAGGAGGAAGAAAACTTCCTGCATTTCAATCACAGATGTAAGTATAAGTAGCCATATTTTAATTTGTAAAGGGATTTTAAATTGAATATTAGGGATGGGATCATACCAAGTTTTTTTGCAGATGATAGTACTTTCATTTACTTAAAAATTTAACTGTTGATTTTTCTAGGGAAATGATTATTACTCAGTGGGTACTGTATTAGGTAACCTAGGGAGGTGCTTAAGTTATCTCTGGTTACTAATCATGGGTACCCCAACAAGTCTTAAAATTTTTAAAAAAAAATTCCCTGAAATAGACATGTTAAGTTAATATAAAAAATAAAAGCCATTCTAATTTTTTTTAAAACAAAACTTTTCAGGCTGTGAAAAGTTCAAATGTTGGAAAATTTGAAAACACTTACGTAAGGGAAAAAATCAAAAATTATAGTTTACAATTTTAACAATCTTTTAAAACGAATTAACTGACTTTAATATTTAGGTTTTTAAAAAATTTATTCAATGCCATTTAGGTTTTTAAAATTTTTCTAATGCCTTCATTATTGCAATTTTCCTTTGGGGAAAAATATGTTCCACCAGTTAGAGAGTCCCATTTCTACTTGCTAGGGGGCCTAAGGGGTAGAAGTTTTTTTTTTTTCCCCCTCTCCTCTCTCTTCTCCCTCCTCCTCTCCTCCTCACTCTCTCCCCCCTTTCCTCCCTTTTTTTTTCCCCCTCTCCTCTCTCCCCTCCCCCCTCCCCCCTCCTCCCCCCCCCCTTTTTCCCCTCACTCCCCCCTTCTTTTTTTTAAAATTTTTTTTTTTATTTTTTTTTTTACCCCCCCACCCCCCTTTCCCCCTTTACCCCTTCCCTCCCTTTTACCCCCCTTTTTCCCCTTCCTCACCCCCCTTTTTTTTTTCCCCCTTTTTTTACCTTTTATTTCCCCCCTTTTCCCACTTTTTTTCCCCCTTACCCCCTTTACCCCTTCTTTCCATACTCCCCTCCTTATTTATCTCCTTTTTCTTTTTCCCCCCCAAATTCCCCCTTTCCTCCCTCTTTCCCCCTTTTTCCCCTTTTTTCCTTACCTCCAAATTTTTTACTTTTCCCCCTACCTTACCCCCCCCCTACCCTTTTTTTTTTCCCCCCCTCTTCCTTTTTTCCTTTCCCCCCCCCCCTCTCCTTTTCCCCTCCCCCCCCCCCACCCCAAAAAAATTACTCCTTTCCCCTTCAACTCACCCCACTTCACTTTAAACCCTTTTCCTTTTCCCCTTTTTTTTCAATTTACAATTTTTTCCCCCCTTTTTACCCCCCCCCTTTTATCTTTCCCCCCTCCCTCCCCCCCTTTCCCCTTCCCCCTACCCTTTTCCCAAAAAACCTCTTCCTTTTTTCCCCTCCAGTTTTCCCTCTTCCCCCTTTTCCCCCCCTTTAAACCCCCTTTAAAAACCCCATTAAAAGCGCCCCCTGTAACCCTTCACCCCGCATAATGTCCCTCTAAAATCCGTTAACGTATTCCTAACATTATTGTGCAATCAAAGTGCTGTTACCTACATCAGCTCCATTTGAAAGCATATTTGTTATGAGACATACAAGTCTGGAACCATTGATGAAGTGGGGAGCCATCTGTGGCCCAGCATTTTCATTTGATCAAACTGACGTTTAACCCTCGTTTGGACAGCATTATGCCTGTACGAATGTGTTCCAATACTCGAGTCATCCTGGGTATGTATTATCTCATATGGAGTGGAATGTTCTGGAGAAGGGGTGTACAGCAGAGTGAAGTTGCTGCCTGTGTCCAGTGCCCGTCTGTATGGCATAAAAAGCTTTGGTTTCCACGCTGTCCTCGAGTGGAACCATCCAAGTGTGGTATTAGGTTGACTATATTGGCCTTGTACATAACAGTAAGGCCTCCCACATACCCTCCTATGTTGAAGGCTCCTGCTGAAATGACCAGATCTATCCAGGATGGGGGGTCCTGGCGAGAGAGAGACGTTCTGCCTGATCTCTACTCTGTCAAGCAGTCGCAGATGAGAGGGGGGGCAGGCCAAACCCAAGAAAGTGGGAGCAGACTCAAGGTGTGAGCGTACCTTGTTCCTCGTAGTACAGGATCTTGCAACCCCTACTGTCAAGCGGATGCGCGATACGGCGAAGTGCTGTAATCTTCCTGGCTTTTCCTTGATTGCAAAGATTTTACAACATGGTTCCTTCATGGTTATTTGGGTAGTCCAAATTTCACCCCAAGGAATCCGAACTTCTTTCTCCCGGTGCCAACATCGTCACGTCCTCATTCATCCTTACACTACTTGCGCCCGCATTACCATCATGGTTCCTAGAGACGAACATCATTTGCGTTTTTTTTCAGGTGCAAATGTTACTTGCCATCTATTCCCCAAGCTGATAAAGCATCTCAGCTGGTGATTGTATGTAGCTTTAGAGCGGAGCTGCATTTCTTTCTCTTGGATAAGTGAATCTGTCAGTGTACAGTTCCGTCCCTGCACATGCATGGGATTTCTGTGATGAGATGGAAGAAGGTCGTTGAAGTAGACATTCTCTCTTCTCACTCTCCTTCCTCTCACTCTCTCTCACTCTCTCTCCTCTCTCCCAATCACTCTCTCTCTCTCTCTTCTCTCACTCTCTCACTCACAACTCTCTCCACTCTCACTCTCTCTTTCTCTCTCTCTCACTCCACACTCTCTCGACTTCTCACACTCACTCTCACTCCTCTCTCTCACCTCTCTCACCCTCCTCTCTCTCTCTCTGACTCTCACCACCACACTCTCACTCTCTCTCCCTCCTCTCCTCTCTCTCACTCTCACTCACACTCACCCCACACTCTCCACACCACACTCTCACACAACCACCCCACACACACCTCTCTCACACACACCACACCGCATACCCGCACCTCACACGTCTCTTCTCTACTCGACTCACCACGCACAGGCTCCACACACTCTCCTCACACACACACACGAACTCCACGTACACCAACACACATCTCACACCTCACCACTCACACTCTCTCTACACATCACTCACATCTCTCTCTCACACCACAGCACTAGCTCTCACTCTCTCCCTCTCTCCTCTGCATCTCCGACTCTCACCCACCACAGTCCACTCTCTCTCTCTCCTCTCTCTCTCACCAACCTACTCTCCCCTAAACTACACCTCGGTCGGCCGTCTCACACTACGGTCATCTCACTCTCACACTCTCACTCTCGTCTCACACTCACTCTCTCCACTCACTCCACTCTCACACTCTCACGACTTCTACACCTCTAACACTCTCTCCTCCTCACTCACCAACTCACTCACTCCTCCAACTCTCACACCTCTCTCCCGTTCTCTCCCTCTCTGACGACAACGTCAACTCACCACCTCTCTCCCACCACACTCGGACTCACTCACTCACTCTCGGCCACCCACACACCTCATCACACACTCCCACTCACTCCTCACACACGCACCTCCTCATCACCTCACCACACCCACGCATCTCAATATCACCACACCACCTCACGACACTCTCTCACTCTCACACACTCTCCTCACACACCCGTCACACTCTACACAACACCCCTTAACACACACCACGGTCCAACTCGCACACACATACACACACACACACACACACACAGCACCCACGACACACCCTCCTCACACACACACACCAGAACACCCACACCCTCACCCACACCCACAACACACACACACACACACCCCACACCACTCACTCACCCACCACACCCTCCACACCTCTCACACCACACACACCACCGACTCTCTTCTCCTCCTCTCACACTCACTCATCACACTCCCTCACACTCACACCTCACTCACTCTCACACACCACTCTCTCGACTCACACTCTCGACACTCTCACTCTCACCCTCACACACTCACACTCATCTCCCACTCACACTCACTCACACTCCTCACTCACACTCTCATCTCACTCTCTCTCACTCTCACTCTCTTCTCACTGCAACACACTTCAACACCACTCTCACCACTCTCCTCTCGCACTCACGCACACACTCACTCTGCCTCACCTCTCATCTCTGGCCTCACTCTTCGACTCTCTCCACTCTCTCACCTCTCTCTCACTCTCTCTTCTCCCCTCACTCACCTCACACACCCACTCTCTCTCTCACACAACACACACTCGTCCTCACACACTCACTCAACACCTCTCCTCACTCCTCCCCCACACGTATCCCACACACACTCCTCACACTCTCTCTCCCGTCTACTCTCTCCTCACCACTCCACATCACTACACACACAGCGCTCTCACACACACACACACATCACTCCAGACACTCTACCCACCACACCCCTCACACGAGCTCACTCACACTCTACACTCTCTCACTCAACTCTCTCTCTCACTCTCTCTCACCTCTCGTCTCACTCACTCTCCTGTTCCTCATCTTCCTCTCCACTCCCTCTCCTCACTCACACACACACACACACCACTCTCTCCACTACCCTCCCACACTTCTCTCACCCTCAACACTCTCACACTCTCTCCAAACCCTCACTCACTCACTCACTCACTCTCACACTCCTCACTCACACACACTGTTATATGCAGAGGTGCCCAGAAAACAACAGTTTCGATGTATATACATATAAAAAATACACAATATATCCCTCGAAACTGACAATATCCCAGACCCCTCCTTTAGAGTGCAAGCATTGCACTTCCCATTTCCAGGACTCGAGTCCGGTTATATAAAATAACCGGTTTCCCTGAATCAGTTCACTAAATATTACCCTGCTTACACTCCAACAGCTATTCATTGCCATGTATTTGTTTTAGGTTTGTGGTTATGCTTAATATACCTAATTTTAGATTCCTCCATTAATTAGTTACCTGAAATATTTTCAACTATGGTACCATATCTACATGAAAGCAATCATTTCTCCATTCTCATTACTTCTATTCATATTTCTGACTCCCTTGTAGCTCATGTTGGCAATTTGAATGAGTGGATCAGGCTCTTTTGCATCTGTTTTTTCTTTTGGGGGGGAGGGGTGTTGTCCTCTGTTTCTCTGCAAGATGATGAGGTTAAGGAGTCAGGCGGAGCCGTTTAGCGCGCTCAAGAAAAAAAATAGAAAAATTATGGAAAATGAGTTAGTTGTACAGAAAAATAGCTTAACTCTTTGGCAACACAATGGTACAAGAATCAATGTTCTACAACGTTTCTACAAGAAATTAGTCATTTATATCAGGTATGGTGGCGGCGATGTAGATAGCGAGTCTGCTCTCAACCCATATATTTTTTTGAATTTTTTCCTTGTTTTTTTATCGCTTTTTCTTTGCATTATTCTATTCTAATATAATAATTGATTATTTGGCATCATATAAGAGTAGGTGGAGCTTATCAATAGACGTCTAGCCTATCAGGAAGCACCTAGGTACACTCGGCAGTGCTCCCTCTCCAGACTGTGGCAGGTGAAATCACTTCATTATTACGCTTGTATCAGCTTATATATTAACTATACGGCTTATTTCATCATTCAGAATTTATCTAATATGATATAATAATCACTATAAATAACAAACATGTTATATACTCTAGACTGAATAAAATAGGCCATAATATAGCGAGAGTCCACCAGCAATATTTCGATATAAATGAGTTACTCCTCGTCTCCTAGTTCTATTGTTTGGTATGTGAGTGATAGAAAATGGTGTTTTGAAGAGGATAACTGCACTAGAACATCAGTTTACTAAGAAATACACCAAAAAAATCGCGATTTCCGCGCAAATTTTTGAGACGGTAGACCGGCCGACTTTCTAGGCCTATATCTCGGAAGTAACTTATTCACTTATTTCGCTCCATAACTCCATTATTAATGATTCAAGAAATCGTAATGACACGATTGCAAATAAACCATACCCCCGGCCGGGATTGAACCCGCGGTCATAATCTCAAAACTCCAGCCCGTCGCGTTAGCCACTAGACCAGCTAGCCACAATAAGATTCATCCAACTAGGTATATTTCTACACCATAGGAAAGTTAGCACAGGCACCTCTGTGACCACAAATGCAAGTTTTTACAGACGAATCTCCAGCTAGTTGGATGAATCTTATTGTGGCTAGCTGGTCTAGTGGCTAACGCGACGGGCTGGAGTTTTGAGACTCTATGACCGCGGGTTCAATCCCGGCCGGGGGTATGGTTTATTAATGATTGTATTGAAATGATTTTCACAGACAATATAAAACAGTGTGTTTGAATTATTTACGTTAGATTTTTTGTAATATCTAAAATATTTTTGATTTTATGGGGGGTAAAAGGCAGATATTTTGGCAAATGCCAAAAATTCTGTCAAATGTATTTTTTTTTACCATGATAATAAGATATATTAGATGAAATGGCAACGTAAAAACGTCGTGCTAGTTGTATTCTAACAGTTGGGAATGTCAGAAGTGCCACTCGTAGTGCCAATTTGTCAGGTTGTGCTGCCATATATAAAAATTGTTTATATTTTTTTCTGTTTGTTGGCCAATCATACTGAAACTTTGTCACGTACTTCTACATATGCACCTCTAAAAGTACACCAAAAATAAAATAAATCGGTTGAAAAATAAAAAAAAATGAAAGAGGGGGTGCCTCCTTAAGTTTCTAGTCCTGTTTTAGCTACAGCCTCCAATGCAATTCCCGAAATCTCTGGTAAACATTCTTGTAAATGTTCCCTTGTTTGACTCTGCAGTGTGCCTGAAGCATCCTGCATGGGACCATTACTTTTAAAGTAACCACAGAGTAGCTTCTTGATTTTAAGCCAGTGAGGATTGCCTGCCATGTTATTTAGGTACCAAAACAGAATTGATGGCAGGATTCTCTTCTACTACTATGATAGCTATTTGGAAAAAAAAGTTAGGAAATTGTGGCAGGCACTCTAGACCCAGCTCCTGTACTTATGGTTGCCAGCATCAGCATTGCAGACCTAAGTTGCCACAGAAATTGAACTATATCTTCCCCATATATCTCAAGGGCTTCATCTGGGCCCCATAGTTTCTTCCCAAACTGCCAGTTAAGGGTAGAATCTGGGCAATTTTCCGCGCGCTCAACCAAAAATCGAAAAATTATGGAAATTGAGTTATATATACCGAAAAATAGCTTAACTCATTGGCAACACAATGGTACAAGAATCTATGTTCTAAGACGTTTCTACAAGAAATTATAGTCATTTATATCAGGTATGGTAACGACGATGTAGGTAGCGCGTCTGTTCTCAACCCATGTATTTTTTGGAGTTTTTTCCTTGTTTTTTATTGCTTTTTCTTTGCATTATTCTTTCTAATATAATAATTGATTATTTGGCATCATATAAGAGTAAGTGGAGCTTATCAATAGACGTCTAGCCTATCAGGAAGCACCTGGGTACACTCAGCAATGCTCCCCCTCCAGATGGTGCCAGGTGAAATCACTTCATTATTACGTTTATATCAGCTTATATATCAACTATACGGCTTATTTATCTATCAGAATTGATCTAATATGATATAATAAACACTATAAATAACAAACAAACATGTTATATACTCTAGACTGAATAAAATAGGCCATAATATAGCGAGAGTCCACCAGCAATATTTCGATATAAATGTGTTACTCCTCGTCTCCTAGTTGTATTGTTTGGTATGTGAGTGATAGAAAACGGTGTTTTGAAGAGGATAACTGCACTAGAACATCAGTTTACTAAGAAATACACCGAAAAAAACGCGATTTCCGCGCAAAAAAATTTTTTTTTGAGACTAGGCCTGCCGACGTTTTCTAGGCCTATATCTCGGAAGTAACTTTTTCACATATTTCGCTAAAGTACACCATTATTAATGATTGTATTGAAATGATTTTCACTGACAATATAAAACAGTGTCTTTGAAAATGTGATGATTCTTTTTTTGGAATATATCAAATATTTTTGATTTTGTGGGAGGTAAAAGGCAGATATTTTGGTGAATGCAAAAAAGTCTATCAAATGTATTTTTTTTTTTTCCATGATAATAAGATATATTAGATGAAACATGTGCATCCCGAATTAGTGTCAGATGTATTCTAACGGTTGGGATTGTCGGAAGTGCCACTCGAAGTGCCATTTTGTCATACTTTGCTGCCATATATGAAGTCACTAAAATATTTTTTTTCTGTTTGTTGGCCAATCATACTGAAAGTTTGTCACATTCTTCTACATATGAACCTCTAAATGTACACCAAAAATAAAAAAAATTGGTTGAAAAATAAAAGAGTTGGCTGAAATTAGGAAGTCCCTCCTTAATGCTTAGATTTTAATAATAGCAGACTATGCTTTCCACTTGCTGACTGTCTGCCACTGAGTCTGATGGCATCTATATTTTGATGCTTCAATATTTACATCCTATGGCACACAGTATTATCTCTTTAACCTTGTTTGATCTCAGGTTCTTCCTCTTCAGTAGAAAATTGCTATTAATAAATGTTTGGTGTAGTATTTGGAGGTGCATAATTCTTTGTATTTGTCAATTTCTTTTGTAGGGGCTGATCCCCTATCGACCCCTTAGTCCGTTTGGAAAGCCATTGCTAGCAAATGCATGCTGGTTGTATGTGTGTCCACCCCCCCCTCCCTTCCATTCTGGAAAAAGCTACCTGGCTTAACGCCTTGGCCCAAGCTCATTCTTTAGGCCTTAGAGGCAATCTTATTTTTCTTTCCCTCCCTCGTGCATTTCTGTCTGGATTAATGTTTACCCCTGACAGTCCAGGCTGAGGGCCTATGTTAGGAACCCCTTCAGAATGCTGTTGACAGTGTTTCCCACTGGGTCACCACTCATGGGTTTAAATTTTATTCCTAAAATGCAGGTGGTCTGACCTTTAAGGAGTTTAGCGCTTCCCAACTATAATTCTCCTTCCTTTCATTAATTGAAAAGTAACTGCTGTATGTAGTAATTTTAATTTTATGAAAGGTTTTAGTTTTTAACATTAAATGATGATCAAATTAATTACTGATTTGCTATGATGCTCCCAAACGAGCTTTTTAATACTGATGAGATTAAATTGTAAGTTACGTCCTAATTCTGTTAAAAGTTAACCAATTCCTTCCACTTTCAGGTGGAAGCTAATGATCGCACCAATCTAAACAAGCTTCTTGAGTGTGTGAAGACAAACTACAATGACCGCTATGATGAGATTCGCAAGAACTGGGGTGGTGGAATTCTTGGTGCAAAATCTGCCTCCCGGATCACAAAGCTTGAACGGGCTAAGGCCAGGGAAATTTCCAAAAACCGTTAAAATAAAATTGTATGGCGTTTCCTTTTTTTCTCTTAAAACCCCTTTTAAATTAAATGTGAAGTTGCTTGCACATAATATCAGCTTTCACTTTCTCTTCTCTTCATGGAAGCCCCCATCTTTGATGCAGATAAGCTTGTAAACTAACCTCTGACACCCACTTTGACTTAAATTTTCTTGAACAAACCCCTAACTAGTTTTAAATCTTTGCATGTCTGTCTGCATTGCTGTAGATACATACTTGACGTTTTACTGCTTAAGTTTTCCTGGAGGGCAATTCCTTGATGCTGGTGAGAACTGTATGACCCTTGTGGGTGTAGCACTTATGATTAAAATTGATGCTGGTGAAGGGTTTGGCCCGAATTCTTTTGCTTGATTGCCGTCTTTTGTTTCCTATTATGCAGCCTCGGAGGCACTATGATACTAATGATGGGTTGATCCAAGAAATTTAACTATCCTCTCTTGGTTCTAACCTGGTTGTCTCCTTTACACAGACTATATGACACCTATGGGCTTTTTTGGGGGGTGGGGGTCATAGGGCCTGAGGTAATGCATGTCGGAACCCAAGGCAATCATTCTTTGGATCAAGACTAGGGTAATCTCCATTGAAGTTCCACGGCTCTATGTGAAAGCAGATCATTCAAAACCAAAGGTGCCTGCAATACAGTCAGTCAACAAATTCATAAATGTTATCAGTGGCTCGGGTATGGGGGTAAGCAGATGTGGCTAAACACTCGTGTAAATACTTTTTTACGTTTTTTCTTTTAGTTTGGTCTGGCCTGCAGTTGTGGATTGCTGTGTATCCTGGTAGAGTGTAATGTCTATTGTCTTGCATAAGCCAGGTTTCGTTATGAATACATAACTTGTCTTAAGGAATCTAGGAGTGCCAGGTCAGTGGTTACTTAGAGATCTAATATTGTAATTAAAAATTATAATACTTCTGACATTACTGGCTTGTGTTGCTGTGTAGTAGACAGTTACTTTCAATTAAATGTCGGCACAAATGGTATAGGTGAGGTAGGGGTAGATTAGTGAATAGTATAATGTAAATAGTGCTGCTAAGTAAAACGACACAAGTGCAACAAATGTGACATCTTGTGGCAACGTTTCTCTCCAGGAGCTTGTCAAGCCGTTACAGCTTGACAAAACTGGAGAATGAAATGTCGCCACAGTACAATGTTATATTACTTGCACTTGTCCTACTTAATATATAGTCAGTAATTCTACCAATATTAGTAAATAGTGCTGTTTGTGGCACATAATGTACCTCTGAGAAGATGCCAACTGTTTTGGGCACTTTTTGTTGATATGGGTGTTGAATTTCAGGTTCATCAAGGTGCAGACCCAGAAATTTTAACTTGTTAGTTTAGAAAAGTGTTGTTTATCATGATTAGTTGGACACTTGCTCTGTTCCCAAACATCCAGTAGAACCCCCATATCCACAGATTTGGTATCCAGTTTCAATCATCTCCCCCCACCTGACTTTCTAATATGGTCACTGCACACCACCTGGTTTACATTTTCTGTGAGCACACTCTCCATTGTCTGGAAACTTTAAAAATTTCAAGTGTTTTAAAGTTATTTCATGTTTTATATATATACTGATAATTATACTTGTGTACCTGTACCTAAGTAAGCTTACACATTGTAATAGCATGCAGGTACACATTAAAATCAGAGTGTCTTATTATTCTTGGACTCTATAATTTAATACACAGTAATCACACTGAGGCACATTAAATGTCATATGTTAATATGAACATTTCCATTAATCCATCTGATACTTTTTCAAAATTATATAAACGCTACGTAACGTATAAAGATGATAAATACACCCCACTTTAGAATAAATTAACACAAATATGATGTTACATGTATGAACCAAGACCAGACGCGCTTGTTTACACAACTGAGTCTCTCCTTTCGTTTACTTGTTCTCTCACTCATTTATTCGTTTACCTCTTTTACTAGACTTGCCCTACCCTAAGACTACAAATATTTTTAGGTAAGTAATGAGTACTGTATATTTCTTGTTTTCAATGCCTAGTTCTGCTGCTAATTTAATGTTAGTGTAAACTTATCTGGCATTTATATTTATTTGTAAGTGTGGAAAAAATGGTCTGCTTTCCAGCAGTAGCCTGAAACGACCTGCCGTATAAGTGGGGCCCTACTGTACGTTCTTCAGACTTGATAGCTATCAAAGGGGGAGGATGAGGCAAGTGCAAGTATGGGGGAAGAGGCGAGGCGAGTGCAAACATTGGGTAAGGGAAGTGGAAGTTCAGTGTGGAGGGAAGCAGAGGGAGAGATGGGTGAAGGGCAACTGTGGGAGATGGGTGAAGGTGTTGGTCTACAGCTGTTCTGCTCTTTGACATGGGCAGGAGGTTGAGAGCTTGTGGGTGGGGAATGGGTGAATATGGATGAGGGGGGTGGGTGAAAGTGGCTGAGGGCTAGAACACATGGTCAAATGGCTGTTGATGTAGGGTGGTGGAGGAAGATAGAGCACTTGGTTCTGGCACTGTGGCTACAGTGAGGCTCAGTGCTCTGTTCATGGGTACTTGTGGCTCAGTAGATAAGGCTCAGTTCACACAGTCTCTCTGGTTCGATCCTGGCATGGGTGAAAACATTGGGTTTGTTTCCTTAAACCTGCTGTCCCTGTTTACCTAACAGTAAGTAGGTACCTGTGTTATAACCAGCTGTTGCAGGTCACATCCTGGGAGACAAGATTAAAGGACCACAATGGAAATAAGACAGTACCCGATGACACGACTATTGGTTTATCCTGGATGGTTAACTCTACCAAGGGTTAAAAATCCAAACAAATTCTTTTGTTTGTCCAGTAGCCTGGTTTAGAAAGACACGAGTAAACACTAGGACATGTTTGTCCTGGAACCTTAATCACTTATAATATACGGAGGTTAAAAAGACTGTATATAAAGGCAGAGTGGGGTGCGAGTGAGGCATGGTGACCCGAAGAATGCTATACTGAGATGACAGGTAGACATTGCGACCATATGATTCCTGTGTTAGGAATTTGCTTCTTTCTAAAGCAACTTGTCAGTATTTGTTAGCAAGGTTCATGCAGTCCAGTAGCCTACCTTCCCTACACCCTTTGCCCACACTTGGCTCATTCCACCAACCCCTTCCACACGTCCTTACTGCTCACCCAGTAACCTTGCCCATTCCACCCACAATCCCCACCCATATAACCCACCACTACAATTCCCCAATAGCTACATGCCATCTTTCCAAAAACCTACCCCCATAACATGCTCTTACAATTTCTCCCATGGCCACACACCTACACTATTCCCCCATGGCAAAGACCACACCTTGTCCAGCCCCCCCATTTCTTTGACCTCATGCCCAAACTTTACCTGATGTCACA